GTGTTAGGGCGGCGGAGGCGTAGCCGTGGGATCATGAGTGTGTTAGGATGGCGGAGGCGTAGCTGTGGGGTCGTGAGTGTGTTAGGACGGCAGAGGCGTAGCTGTGGGGTCGTGAGTGTGTAAGGATGGTGGAGGCGTAGCTGTGGGGTCAGAGAGGTCTGGGGTCATATTCCCACTGTCACCAGCTGTGTAATCTGGGGCCTGAAGCTTCACCTCTTCTTCCTGTCCTTGGCCTGGCCTGGTGGGTTTTAGTGCCTGGATGTGCCGGGCCCCATGCTATTCATTTTATGTCCCCTCATTTAATATTCATGACACCTGTGTTACCAGGGCCATTTTGTAGGTAGGGAAACTGAGGGTCAGAGCCTCAAAGCTGAGCGTAGACCACCTTTGGCTGCAGCCTTCCCGTGAGGCCTTGCCCTCCTCGGCCCCCATGGCTCTGGCTTCTAGGATGCTCTGCCGCCCCCCTGACCCTGACTCCCCAGACCTGGACACTCCCCTCATGGTTCCTCTGCACTTCATCTTACCCGACTGCAAGCTGTCTGCAAGGTCTTTCTGGGTGCTAAATGTCTGTGCTGCCTTCTGTGAATGTTAACTGCTTAGTTCAGTTTTCTTGGGATAATTACTGAAGCTGAAATTTTCCTTGTATGCTTTGAGTGAAGTGTGTTTGGCATTTTTCTCAGATTCTAGAGGGGGAAAAACAGAGCTGTAAGCCTTAGTTTCATCTTAGCCCTACTGCAGTGAACAACAAAAAAAATTAGCAAAGGCTCTTGCAGCCCTTACCTGTTTCTGAATTGGAGTTTTCTCGGGGATTGTCTTAAGGTCGTAGGAATCATTTTGGTTTTTCTTTTCCTCCTGTGAGTAGAAAGAAGGCACCAGGTAGTTGACAATTACTTCAAATTAAAGTATCACCTGCACAGGTGACTTTAGCCGTAAGCCGATGTAGTTAATACTCAGTGAGCGCACTTTCCACACATGCCATGGGCGTGCCCATGCGTCTCAAAATGAGGAAACAAATGAGAGCAGCATTTGCACAGGTAGGTTATTACGTCAGTGAATGAGTCTGTTAATCCCAAGTTCTGCTCTCTTGTTTTTCAGTTTTTCCCCTATATCCTGTTACTCTTCGCGATCCTCCTGTACCTGCCGCCCCTGTTCTGGCGTTTTGCAGCTGCTCCCCATCTTTGCTCAGACTTGAAGTTTATCATGGAAGAACTTGACAAAGCTTACAACCGTGCAATTGAGACTGCAAGGAGCATACATAACCTCAACCTGAGAGACGCTGCCTGCCCAGTTCCGGGGGTTAATGAGAACACAGGGCAAAGGTGAGGTGGCCCCAGCAGGTAGCCAGCTGGGCTTGTTGTCTTCTTAAATGTGTTTAACAAGTATTTGGCCTTTATAAGGTACAAGGAGTTCTAAGAATTTCCAAATGTTAACCCCCTTAATTAACTAGGCGTTCTTTAAGAAGTTCGGTATGGCTAGATGGTTGTACAGCGGTAAAACGTGATGCCCGAGAGGCTGCCCACCTGGGAGGGTTCCGGGTTGGCGTCCAGAGACCTTCCTGTGTGTGCCAGGCACACGCTTGCCCATGATCACGGTACGAAGACCTTGGTGTGGGGTGCTGTCTCTCTTGTTTATAGAAGAGATAAAGAATAAACTTTTCAAAAGTCCCTTCTCCTCCATTCCCATTTTAGGATTTTGGGCATGCATGCATGCGTACATGCCCAGTGTGAGCTGCTGGGTCCAAGGCTTGAACCATGGTTTGGTCATGTGGGAGTCCAGTGCCTTAACCACTGCTGGCTCCTATGATTGTTTTTCTTCCTCGTTTCTTTTTTAACATAATTTTTATTCCTTTGTACTCTAATAAAGTTATAGTTGGAGAAGTGTGGCTTTTAAAAATCTTCAGTCTAGCACTGTTGAATGGTTTTATGCCTGTAATGTCTGCTGGTCTTGCTGAGGGCCTAAGTTCTATCGTTTTTTTCTTTTCAGTTTATGGGAGATACCCGAAAGCCACTTCAAATACCCAATTGTGGAACAGTACTTGAAGACAAAGAAACACTCGAATAATTTAATCATCAACTACATCAGCTGCCGGCTGCTGACACTCACGATTATACTGCTGGCGTGCGTCTACCTGGGCTACTACTTCAGCCTGTCCTCGCTCTCGGACGAGTTTGTCTGCAGCATCAAATCAGGGATCCTGAGAAACGACAGCACCGTCCCCGATCAGTTTCAGTGCAAGCTCATCGCCGTCGGCATCTTCCAGCTGCTCAGCTTCATTAACCTGGTGGTTTACGTCCTGCTGACTCCCGTGGTGGTCTACACGCTGTTCGTCCCGTTTAGGCAGAAGACGGACGTCCTCAAGGTGTACGAAATTCTGCCCACCTTCGACGTTCTGAATTTTAAGTCGGAAGGCTACAATGACTTGAGCCTTTACAATCTGTTCTTGGAGGAGAATGTAAGTGAGCTCAAGTCCTATAAGTGCCTGAAGGTGCTGGAGAACATTAAAAGCAGTGGTGAAGGGATAGATCCGATGGTACTCCTGAACAACCTGGGCATGATCAGGATGGACGCCGTGGACGGCAAAGCAGCCATGTCTGCGGAGATGATGGAAGAAAAGGAGGGGAGCCAGACGACCGAGCTCAAAGGTAGGGCAGAGACTACAGGAGCCTGCAGCGCCTTGCAGCGCCTGTGAGGAATATGCAAATGCGGCTTTTACTCTGCCCATATGTAGTAGTACATCTTGTGTTGCTTTAACAGAATACCCAAGGACAGGGCCTGCATGAAGAAAAGAGGTTTGTTCGGCTCACAATACAGGGGCTGAGAAGCCCAAAATCATGGCGCCAGCATCTGCTTGGTTTCACCAGAGCCCTTGGTGACAGAAAAGTGGAAAGATCAGAGGGTGGTGCAGAAAGACACTCATGAGCGTCAGGGCAGGCTGTGTAACTGCTTCTGTGGTGAACAATGTAGTCCCACAAGGCTTAAGAATCCACTCTCTCCGGCCAGGCAGCATTGATCTATTCCTGAGGGATCCACCTCCATCCCCTAGACACCTCTCACGAGGCCCCACCTCCTGACGCTTCTATAGGGGGCATCCGATTTTTGGCAGGGACGCATTCAAACCATAGCACCATCATGTAAACCATTTTCCTAGTGTGGTCTTAAGGGGAACCCCTCAGTCATGGGAGTGGGAGGGAAGGAATTGAAGCTATAGTAGAGTAACTATAGTTAACAATCCTTTATCATATATTTCAAGGTAGCCGAGAGAGAATTTTAAATGCTCATAGCAAAGTAATGACAAATGTTTAAAGTGATAGCTATACATGTTATCCTGATTTGATCATAACACATTGAAGTCATACACTGGAAAAGCCATCCTGTACCCCATAAGTATGTGCAATTATTGTCAATTGAAAGGTTTTTTAAAAAAGACTTTAAAAAAAATTGGGACCAGCAGGTGGAGTAATGGCTAAGTTGCTGGACTCCCATGTAGTCGATTGCAGTTCGAGTCCTGGACCCGGTGGCTTAAACTCACGCTGGGTACACGTGCTTGCGTGCCCAAGATCCCAAGAAGAGAAGGGATTGCCGTGTGGCCATGCCCCTGGGGGATGATTTCTTGCTTTCTGTCTCTCTGTCTCTGTCTTTCTGGTGAGTACACGTACCCACCCCATAGCAAAAACCTTTCAAAAAAAAAAAAAAATTGGTGCTGCCACCAGATTTCCAAAGAAGGACAATGTCTACACTTTTTCTGGTTCTTTCATTTCTTTCACTCTATCTCATATGCTGTGTCTTGCTCCTACATGCTTCCTTATTAGATTTTGTTGCTTATTTTCAAAATCCATAATAGACCATGTGCATGAGAGACAGAAGTAGCCCCACAGGGCCTGGTGCCACCACAATCCCTTTCCCGCATTCCTCCAGCCATCAAGACTGTGGGCATGCCCAGAGTGTTGTCAGGACAACTGGGCCAGGGTCTTGAACCACAGTCAGCACTGGCTTCCATCTTTTTTTCTTTTTTTTGGAGAGATTTTTGCTATAGGGCACATGCACTTGCCAGAAAGACAGAGAGAGACAGAGAGACAGAAAGTGAAAAATCACCACCACCACCCCCCCAGGGGGGATGGCCATGCTGCAGTCTTGTCTCCTCCATTCTCCTCTTGGGATCTTGGGCATGTATGCACACAGGCCCAGCATGAGTTTAAGCCACCGGGTCTGGGAATTGAACCGTGGTCGACTACATGGGAGTCCAGAACCATTATGCTAACTGCTGGTCCCAGGCTTCCATCTTTTCATCTGGTGTGCTACTGACGACTAGACCTTTTTGTTCTCTGCTTATTTTTGTTTTGGCTTCCTGACTTTTTTTCTTTACCTACCCCCGCTGTGTAGTTCTCTTGACGGTCTCTTTCAAAAGGAAGTGATTTTTTTTTTTAAATTATTGCCTTGATTTAACTTCATTGTGTTCTAAAATTAGGCTAAGCAGTGAAACTTGTAAAGCAGAAAGTATGAGAGATTTTGAGCAGAAAGAAAGCTGATTAGTGCTAATAGCTCCTTCTCTTCTTTTGTCATCAATATGTATTTTCAATTTTGACAGATTTAAATGCCCACAGTGAAACTAAAGCAAATAACGGAGAGCAGAATGCTCGACAGAGACTTCTGGATTCTTCGTGCTGCTGATTATTTCCTTGAACTTCAGATCTGACTTCTACAAGATGGGATTCATTCTGGCTGAAGCACCTCTGTCGAGTCCACAGCCAGACTGCGGTAAATTGTCCTAGCTAGCGCTATGGAGCGCAGCTTACTGAGTCTCTAATGAAAAAAGACGGCCAACAAAATATCACGGAAGAATGGTTTATGAACTTCCCACGCGAAGCAATACAGACATAAGTGAGCGACAGCAAGTATTTTGTGTGGGTCCTCACTGATGAGACGTGGAGGGACTGGTAAGAGTAGTTAAGGGTGATAGCTTTTTAGAGCATTGGCGAGAACTTCCTGTACCCCGTTGTGACGAGACCCAGAGCTACTAGAAAGCAAGCACCTCGGGAGATTTGTTTTATGAAATAATAATAAACACATAAGGATACAATTTAATATGAATCTCTTCTGTGACCTTAGTGGCTGTTGGATGAGAAAAGCATTTGCCCACTGACTGTGGACGCGTGAATCCACCTGCTTTTGGCAGTGTCCTAAATCGGGCATAAATCTGGTGCCTTGGGTCTCGGACACTCAAGCTCTCTACACTGTTACTTGTCAACCATGGCTCATAGAAATCTTCTAACCACTATTTGTCGCACTCTGCTCTGAAGGCCAGGAGGTCCAAGCACTGCTTTGTCTGAAAACTTAATTAACAAGATAAAATCTAAAGGATACAGATGCTCCTCAACTTAGGGTGGGTTATGTCCCAGTAAATCCATTCTAAGTCGCAAGTATTGTAAGAGGAACACGCATTTAATACACCGAACCTACTAAACATCATCACTTAGCCTGGGCCCGTTTTAGATGTGCTCAGAACATGTACCCTACCCTGTGGTTAGGCAAATCATTTAACCCGGTCTATTTTATAATAAGGTATTGAGTGTATCTTATAGTATTTTTTGAATTCTGGGCCAAATGTGAAAAACAGGATGACTGGTTTCTACTGAATGTAAATTTCTTTCATAAAGTAAAACAAACAAAAAACCATAAACAGAACCATTGCTACATTGGGAACGTCTGTATTCGGTTAGTATCACTATGACTTCAATTCAGGAGAAAGAAAAAGCTTCAACCAGAACAAGGAGAAATCTGAATTTACAGAAAGAAGTTGATTCAGTCACTGTCACAGACGTATTTACAGGGCTTTCCTGTTTTCAGAGGCATTTGGAAACAGGAATTTATTTGAACACATTATCAGAACACGGGAGTACTTAAAGTGAGGGACACGGCCTTGTCTGATCAGAGCACATGAATGCCATTTACCATATGTTGTGCTTGGAGCCAGACAACTTAGTAGTTTAGTTTATATTTAAGCACAACTTTTAAACATGCCTTTTAATTTATACAGTGTCAGTTGAGAACCTCTGTGAAGAACGTTCTAACATCGGTGGAGGATGACTAACATCAGTGGAAGATGTCAGAAGCAATGTTACAAGTGGATGGCTAAGGCTCACGCAGGCTTTATTTCATAAACTTAGTAAGGCTGATTCAGAATTTGTTAAAAACCATTCAGAATTCCTACCATGGAAATAGAGCCTATGTTTACATTTTATAGGAAAAACACATTTTAACATCTGTAGACTATCCCATTTTTATTTTTAAGAAAGTTAAACATTGTAAAAGTGAGCAATCTTCAGAACTTCAGTTTACTTTTGGCTCTTAAAGACAGTTCACCTCATTCAATTCCTGTTTTGTGATGAACAGAGGTTATCTAAGCTGCTGTCTGTTTTTTAAGAGTATTTAGAAAAGCTTATTTGTGCTTTTCTGATAGTTCTCATTAGCTTTCCATCTTAGAAACTATCAAGAATACAATCAGTGTTTTAAACTATTCTTTATGAGATATTTATTATTGAAGTATAGTGTTTCAGACATGGCAGCAAGATAAGAGATTTTGCTGTATTTGAGATGTTTTGTTACAATTCAAACAGATTTTTGTGTTTTGAAGCGGGTGAAATGTAGAGACCAGGAACTCTCGAAGCCTCGTCGTGTGCAATTCTTTTATCAGAGTTGGTATAATTGGAGACCACTTTTGAGTTATTTTCTCATTCCTACTCCCCCAGCTCCAGTAGAGTCTGCGATGGTCCAGACACCATGCTAGGTAGGCACTGGCCATGCAGATATGAATAGATCCAGTTGTCAGGAGGTCAGAGTCTAGTAAAAGGCAGCAGAGCAGAGATAGAGGCAAGTACCAAGAGGAGAAAGAGTAGCCACAGTAAAGGCCTCTAGACAACCAGCAAATGCTCTTATGTTCTTGGCAGACACACGATTAATACATTATTGTGCTCCCAAACAAATACCTGAGAGTGAGCAATTTATAAAGAACAGAGGTTTGGGCCAGCTGACAGCATGGTTAAGGCAGCTGGATCCCACGTGACCAACTGTGCAGTTTAAAAAACACACAGTGTGTGTGTTTTTCTGAGAATCCCAAAAGGAGGGAAAAATAAGGAATTGAAGTGTGACTATACCCCGTGGGAGGGGGTGCATTCTCATTTTCCCTCTCTCGGTTTCTCACCAGCAAGAGCACATGCCCTCTAGGAAGTTTTTTTTTTTGTTTTAGAGAAATTTTTGCTGTAGGGCACATGTACTCGCCAGAGACAGAAAGTGAGAAATCACCCCCAGAAGGCTTGACCACGCTGTAGTCCCTTCTCCATTCTCCTCTCAGGATTTTGGGCATGCATGTACATGAACCTGGTATGAATTTTAAGTGGCCGGGTTCAGGATTTGAACTAGGCACAACTACATGAGAGTCCAGTAATGTAACCATTATACTATCTGCTGGTTTTTTTGTTTTGTTTTGTTTTGTTTTTTTAGAATAGAGGTTTATTTGGCTCATGATTTTGGTGGCTGAGAGCTTGTGCAAAGAGAGGAAACAGGATTCCCCCCTCTCTTTGGGTCTCCTATTTCCACAACCCATTGGATGATGTGCTTCCATTAGGCCCACTTGTTAAAGGTTTAACCACCTCCTAACACCATTGCATTGGATATCAAGGCTTCCAACATGAATCTTTGGTTAACCATATCACACATGTGCTTTTTTCTGCATGCTGTGGTTTTCATAGCTGGTAGTTTTGAGAGTCTAGCTCTAATGTTTCCCAGAGGCACATTAATTTCTATGGTTGGGCAGAGCAACAATATAGACCATGACTTAGGTATTTGGTATACAGGGTGAGAGAACAAGCCCGTGGGGTACATGAACTTGCTGATGAACAACAGTCATGGTTCAAAAGGCTGGTAAGAATGCCTGGCTTAATATTCTAGCCTTAGGAAAAAAATAAATCATTAGGAATGTTAACTTTTTCTTCCACTGTGAATTTACTGGCTTAGAGGGCTACTTCTGAGGAGTCAATTTCCTGAGGGCAAGGACTTTCATAAAGGACTCATTACTTTATGAAAGAGGACAAACAGATACTTAATGGCTGCTCCGGGGTTACTGACTTTGTTGACCGGCTCCTGTCTCCCTAGTCAGTCACTGTGAGGCTACGAGTTGGACCTGTAAGCACAGCGTTGCATCAGAGAATGGCACAGATCCTTCTGAAGGCAATGTTCCAGCACACCTTCCTTTTACCTGAGGACAGGAGAGACCGACAGCATAGAGGTTTTTAAACTTTGGGGGCTCAAAACTCCTTGCAAATATTTTTTAAATGATGGGCTCTCTCCTCAGAAATAGACACATTTTTAAATGCACCTTCAGAGGTGGTTATGTCCATGCATCTCAAGTTAAGCTGAACTCTAACAGCTGAAGAGCAAGCCACACAACAGGGAATGGGGCTCTCCCTCTGCCCTAGAGAAAGCTCATTTGAGCAATAAGACTTGGCTGCATGCTTGCTTAATTCATGTTTACATACTTTCGAATGAGCTGTACCTTTTGACTCACTGCCTTCATTTTCTGGAGTCGGATTGAACAAAGTCAGTAAAGGAGCGAGTGGGCAGCAGTGGGCATTGGAATGACCAGGCAGCCAATGTCGACAGCTCTCTTCCCTGGCCACAAGGTGTTCTCTTCTTCTGATTCAAATAATTGTAATAAATTATTGTAAATTCAATAATTTACCTCACTGGAAAGTGGGTAAGACGGACAAAACAAAATGCTTTGTCCTGCTTTATGGTTGTATTATAAGAAAGCTAGAAACTCCCAAGTGTATGGGGAGTCTGATTTGCGTGTTTGTGAAAACCAGTTACTGAGAGTCCTCTTTATCTAAGAGAACTAAGGTGCAGGCTGCAGGACCACTGGGGGCCTTCGTTCAGCTTTAGGATATAGACGCTCACACACCTTTCAGCACGTGTTCAAGTTTGTTGTGTTGATTGTCGGTTTAAGGTAAGTAGAGGATCTGTCCATGGCTGTACTACAAGCTCTTGCAGAAGTGACTGGCCCTGAGTAGGAGTTCTGTAAACACTTGTTGAATGAATGAGCAAACATACTGTTGGGATAAATCCTAGTTTGTGGGCAAATGTGATTTGATTGTAAAACACAGATAGCCCTTTGCCAGAGAGGTGGAGGGGAGATTCATTTAGCCACTAGGTAGAGAGAAGAGTATTTCTGCAAGTGAATAGGTTTCCACATTAAGTAGTGACAGTCCTTAGCTCTTTACTCTGGGATGAGGTGTGACCATTTTCCAAGTTCACAACAAGTTTATTGTTGCCTCAAAAATTAGAGAAATTGAAGTTTTAAAGGTCTGGTTTTAGTAATGCCCTAGACTAAACTTCTTGAAAGGGAATGTGATGAAAATGTGCAACTGCTTCCAGTGGAGGTTTTATCTGAGGGCATGGAAATGAAATAGCTCCTTTTGGGCAACCCTTGGCATTTTGGCCCTATTTTTTTTTTTTTTTTTTACAAATAAAGTAACACCTTTTACAATTTGACAAAGAGGATATTGTGTCAAATGTGGAATATAAAACATATTAATACATGATTGGTTTTCCTACCTGCTTTAAGTAAAATGTGTTGTGTTTCTCAGTTGTTTTAGCTGTAAAAATACTCCATCATTAAAGCATGAAGTTTGATCAATAATTGTTCAAGTTTCTGTAAGTTATTAAAATTGTTGCCTCAAAAATTAGAGAAATTGAAGTTTTAAAGGTCTGGTTTTAGTAATGCCCTAGACTAAACTTCTTGAAAGGGAATGTGATGAAAATGTGCAACTGCTTCCAGTGGAGGTTTTATCTGAGGGCATGGAAATGAAATAGCTCCTTTTGGGCAACCCTTGGCATTTTGGCCCTTTTTTTTTTTTTTTTTTTACAAATAAAGTAACACCTTTTACAATTTGACAAAGAGGATATTGTGTCAAATGTGGAATATAAAACATATTAATACATGATTGGTTTTCCTACCTGCTTTAAGTAAAATGTGTTGTGTTTCTCAGTTGTTTTAGCTGTAAAAATACTCCATCATTAAAGCATGAAGT